TGTGTGGAATTTCAGAATTAAACAGCATGTTAAATGCCACTATTAAGTGTGATTTAGGTGCAAAATATATAATATAAGATATCATTGCAAATCCAAATAAAGCTATCTACCACATTTTAAAAACTCTCATTAAAATGATTGGGATAAATCTTTCTGACAACATCAGCATGGTAACGAAAGCTGAGATTAGTTCAACAACGCAATTAATCCTATGCTTCAATGTTTTACTATTTGGATGAACAATTCGAGTGTGTGTATATATATATATATATATATATATAGAAAGCATAAAAAATATGTGTGTCTGTCTGTTTGTCCCTTATTTAACTACTACTAGGTCGCTGAGCCAATCTCAAACAAATTTTGTGGGATAATAGTTTGGAACAAGGGGCATGTTAATGGGGGGTTCACAACTCCTCCACCCTCATTATTGATGTTATTGAGCATTAATTATCTTTGGCGTAAGTTAACGTTAACTACATTTATGGATAGTGCCACGTTTCTACACCAAGCAAAAAATAACTTTATTAAATTTTCCGTCCCCCAGTGAGGCAGCGATAAGTATTCAGATTTACCACGCTAAAACAGGCGGGTGGGGTTCGATTCCCCTCAGTGGACACAGCAGATAGCCCGATGTGGCTTTGCTATAAGAAAATACACATTAATTTTTTTATAACACAACATACACACAGTGTGGAGGGGAGAACACATAAACGTGTTGTGTAACTCAAAGAATGCACTAGCATTTTCTATGGAGGAATGCAATGAAAAAAATGGCTACCACTATTGCAATAATACATAAACTCAGCTGAAGTTTCTACTCCAACAGCCAACATAAGGCTGATATTAAGAGAGGTTTTTCGAGTTATGCCCACTTTCTACTTTGACCCGTGACCTTTCAACTTTGGCCTGTAAGACACTTCTGCGGCCAATTGCCGTCAATTAATTAATAACATGAAACAGTGTGGAAGAACATTAAGAGGCGGGTGTTGAAAGCGGGTAACAGAAAGCACCCCTACCGCCACTACATTAGTCGCTACCTCTTCGTACAAAGCCATCCTGACCATCACACAGTGTACACCATGTTTTAAATATATACGTAGTGATTTCTTAAGCCTAATACAAAACTTTTGATGAGGTAATAATATGTTATAAATCAATTGTGTGAAAGTTAGGATTTTTGCGTTATTTATCATAGCATCCACCCCCTCACAATTTTTTAAAGTTATTGTTACGTCTCCGTTCGCTAGTTAATTTTCCGTAACTTCGTTCCGACGAAACTTTAGCGACACAAGTCCTTTCTTAAATAAAACTGGTTTATTCTTTCCGAATACAACTTTACGATACACTTAATTTCAATAGTCGCTCTATAACAACACTATAATTCACGTCTCACGAGGCCAACAATATTTTGTCCGCATACATTCAATTACTCATTACCTACACCTTTGTCCCGTCACGTTGTGACCATCTTATATATACCAGACTACCCCAATCTAGTAAATGCTAGGGCATTCACGAAGGAACGGGATATTTCTAGAAAACGTGGCGTGACAATAGTCACGTGACCTCGCTGACGCAACATTATCAACCCGGATAAAGAACGCGTACCTCAGCTTGTGTACATGTAAAAGTAGTTTTGGGTAAATTCGTCACTAGATTTTGCCCACATTATCATATTAATATTTTTAAATGTCACTGTTGTCTGTAAAGTAACTAATATTTTGAAGTTTTAACTTGTGTTTATAAGGATATTAAAATACTATAATATTTCGTTTCTCTTATTAGATCTCCCCAGTAGTTCAGCGGTAAGTCTGTAGGCTTATTCCGATACTGATAGCCCATTCTCTAGCTTTGCACTCAACAAGAAACAACTTCTCTCGGTAGTCCTAATGATTTAAGGAGTCAGTGTTAAACTTTTTATGATGTTCTCTGCGTAGAGTTAATTGATCCAGACCAAACAAAATTATTGTTAACCCTTTCTATATACTGAAAAATAAAAATATTTTATGAAATAAGCCTACATCGTTACTGTAGCGATTATTGTAAATAGTTGAGTTTGAACCATACTCACACAACAAGATTCTAAAAGTCAGAGACTGTAGATAAAATTTTCAACATTTTTGCTTATCTAATGTTCATGCAGTAAGCCAAAGATTTTTGTGATGCACACTTTTTATTTTATGTCCAGTAGATGCATTCAACGAATAACGTTTCGTGGATATTCTTTCCACCTAGGCTCTCTCTAAATCAAAGCCTCTATTAATGTTACTAAGATACATAGTAACTTTGTAAAATTATCTTCAGTTAGTAGCTCTAAGGTTTAATTATTTATTTTAAAAAACAGGACCTTCTTCATGGGTATGCTTTAACTCTTTGTCTTTTGTATTATTGAAACAGTGTTAAATATGTCAGTCAAAAATGTCGAGCTAAATTATTTAAACCAATTTACACAAGGTTTTGTCGTGTTCCGTGGTTAGTTTAACAAAATTTCTATCCACTTTTAAATTTGATAGGTGGCGCAATCATCGTTAGTTTATTTCCAGCGTCGAGTTTCATATATAATTCATTGAATAATAATTGAATATTGTTTATTAGCTTAATATTTCCTAATTTTTCACTAATTACAACGTTTATTAAAAAACGCTACTTTTTTGAAGACCTTACTACAATTACTGTATCATTTAATTTTTTTAATTATCAATCATTACATGTTAAGACTAAGGTATCGTTACGAGCGTAGATATGAATTATGATTCGTCCACAAAACTAACAAATATGTTGTATTTGTTAACGTTAACTTTGAAATAAGATTTATTTATTCTTCTATAAAAGTTCTGTTATCCTTAAGTTCAGTCTTACTGGCGTTATTAAAATCAACAAATGTTTAAGATGCGAATCACGTCTAAGTAAGCCTAGCACTAGCAGACAGTAATCGGAACGGTCTAGGAGTCTTGAAAGCAGGAATCGAGCTGTTATTGGGCAACGACAATAACCTATAAATGTATATATAGTATGTATATATATATATAGTAAAATACGTTGCTACATATACAAACAATAGAAGACATAAAAGAAACACTTTATTTACGTTTCATCCAAGCTTTGTCTATTGAAGAAAAAAATGGGAAGATAAAAACCACTGTTAACAAGACAATGAAAAACTTTTAACTAGTAGAAGTAATGAAACTTAAGTAAGTAAAATAATATCATTGTTATACATTATTCTCCATTTAAATGTGATGTTTGTATTCATTTCTACCAATTTTGCTCATTAACAATTTCAAAGACCAAAAAAAGTCGAATATTCATATATATATATATAACAATAAAAAAATCATTATTTCTCTATTGTTTAAATAGTAATTTTTTTAGGAAGAATATCACAGTACAATAAAATAGGTTGATCCTCTTGAATTTTCACTTGAAGTAAATACGCTGGAATTTAATTTAAATCTGAATATATGTGTATATTTATCATTTACACGTAAATAACCTGCACCAAAACCAATGTATATTGAAAACACATTACAAGATACTGACCGTTTGGCCAATCACACTTCAAAATAAGAATAGATACGGTTCTCATGACCCGTCCTTTTTACAGACTTTTCTAGCATTATTTTTGGTTCTGAGGTAACCACCTGGTGCTTAACATCAAGTCCATCAGGTTTGTTGGAAGTCACATTTAAAAACATTTTATTAAAATCATATTAACTTGTCAAATTCTTTATGTAAGATGATCGAATTTTTTCACAACTTTAAGCCATATAATCCATCGTTAAACTACATTCATTAACAACAATGACGGCAGTTATAAATAACTTCTATGAATACAAATAAACCGTTTTATTTGGCTAAAATTAAATCCCGTGTTCTATCTATGTTTGTCAATATAAATAAAACTTTAAAACCGAAAAATAAAATCTTAACACATCGATTCACGTTACTATTACTACAATGAAAATTGTAGGGGTTAACGTGTTTTTTTTTGGTCATCTAAAAGTAAGCTCAAACATGAGTTACTAATACTGTACATCTGTGTGGTATTACATCACAATCATGAAGTCCCATAACCAAGTTACAGCCCCCACGTGTTTAATACAACCAGATGTTGCAGTCAGAATTACCAGCAGTTAAGTGTGTAATTGTGACAGTAAACAACATGACAGACAGTTTGTAAATGAGTAATTCTCAAGTGTTTCTTTAAGTATTCTCTAATTGATAAAATTAGCTAGAGTTTATTTGTAAGCAACTTTAAGCCTAAGAACATAATAGTTTCTGTAAACAAACAAGAAAGCCTAGAATATGAAAACATAACCCAACATGAACACCCAGTATAAAATATACATTTAACTAAAAAAAAAAAAAATGCAACATAAAAATAATGTTTACCAATTTTTTTTGGTATCATACTAAATATAACAATTTCTTTTTCAAATAACTGCGTTAACACTAGACACGCTGTCGTTAACTAAGAATTATTAAAATTTTCCCCTTATACTGAAACATTATTTTTGTCATCTTACATCAAATAACAGTTTGTTGTGAAAATATTATAAAGTGTTTAAAAAATAAAAACATCAAACAAACATTTTCACAATGTTATCAGTTTTTTCAATAATGTAGACAAACAATAACAAAACTGGGAACAATTATCAATTTAGTTAATTTGCATTTATTTCTATTAAAGTATGTTATTGTTTGAAACAATTCTTGTATGTTATTGTTTGAAACAATTCTTGTATGTTATTGTTTGAAACAATTCTTGTATGTTATTGTTTGAAACAATTCTTGTATGTTATTGTTTGAAACAATTCTTGTATGTTATTGTTTGAAACAATTCTTGTATGTTATTGTTTGAAACAATTCTTGTATGTTATTGTTTGAAACAATTCTTGTATGTTATTGTTTGAAACAATTCTTGTATGTTATTGTTTGAAACAATAACTTCTATATATATAATTCAATAAATAATTTAGGTAAGTATTTTACACGAACAAATTAACTCCAAAAAAAAATAAAAAATTCTCCAACCTAAATGTTAGTGAACGAAAAAAAAAAAAGTCTAAAACTTTTTATGAATCACATGTTTCGTTTCCTCATCATTTTAAACAGAATAATAATAAAAAAAAACACATTTTTTTCACTTTGGTGAAAGCTTGTTTTTGGTATATCAAAAATACAACGAGAGAGATTCCGCTTCCAAAAATAAAATAGTTATTAAAACGTTTCAATGATAAATCACAAATATATCACAACTAAATTCAACTTCACAGCTAGAAATGAGATGTAAAGAGTCTGTTAATGTTACAATGGGTCGGTCACTTTTCTTACGTTTTTACTAGAAATTAACTTTTGTAAATATTAATTGCAAAGTATCAATATATATAAACTGGATAAAACCTACACTGCTTTTATTTTTATCTATAATTTTAGGTCAATGGAAAAATTCTGTTTAAAAACAGAATAAAAGTATATGGTATCTTTCATTTCTTTGGATATTTTGCTTGTAATTTGTCAACCATCACTTCACATAAGCGATCAATATCGTACTCGGGCTTCCATCCCCAGTCATTTCTAGCATTGCTGTCATCAAACACCTCCGGCCAGGAATCAGCTGAAAAAAGCCAATTAAAAAAAATTAAAACTTAACTATCACTTCTCAGTATTATTTAACCACTCTATCAACAAAGTTTAAAAAATATTAAAAATTCAAAGTGTTTTGTAATTTAAAATACTGTAACGGTTACGATAAGTTACTGAACATATTTAAAATGTCTGTTCACATTATGAGCAAATTATTTGATCTCATGTTGCTCTGAAAAAAATTAATTAAAAATTACTGAATAATACTTCAAATTGATTCATTAAAGCCATTCTTGATTTTACATTTTAAAACAACAAACAAAACAAAATGTCAAATTACCAGAATCTCTCCACAAAATCTTGAGATTATGATTTTTTTAAAAAGTCCACTTCTTTTTTTTGCCAATACATTCAAATGATCTCAATAAATTAATAATTTAGACTTGATTCATTAAAGCCATTCTTGATTTTACATTTTAAAACAACAAACAAAACAAAATGTCAAATTACCAGAATCTCTCCACAAAATCTTGAGATTGTTATGATTTTTTTAAAAAGTCCACTTCTTTTTTTTGCCAATACATTCAAATGATCTCAATAAATTAATAATTTAGACTAGTATGTAATAATTACAAAACCATATTCCCAAGACTTCCTCAATAATAATTAAGGTTTGGTTGCTCAGGATTTGGGCCAAAATCATTGATTCAAATGTGTATTTAATATATAAAGATTTAGATTTTTGATATACAAATGATGATACCAATTACATAAGGAGCAACGTTGTGGCTAATTAAACATTGAAATTTAAGAACTGTTTTGTTCTCTCTCTCTCTTAGAATTAATAAAATTAAAACATTCAGGCTAGACAGATCAGCCGATTCACTCTGCTTCTGACGTTGAAGAAGTGGTAGGAACATTGTTCTGTCTGTTGACCCGTTTAATAAATTGTTTATCATGACGTATCTCTGTCCTTAACTTCGAAGTCTGATGACAGTTGTCCACCAGTGGTTTATAAAAATACAAAAATGTGTCTGTACATCTGCCATTATCAATAGACGTGGATCATTTTTGGCAGGACAACGAAGAATAATATTCTACACGTGACCATCAAATTTTTGACTGAGTTACAGAGCAAAATTTCTGTTAAAAATCTGTCCCCATTTTAACAGACAAGAAATTTTTAGGTTTGTGACCTTGACCCTCCAAAGACTAATCACTCCTAAGTAGGGTCATAGTCCAAATGTATACCAACTTTTGTCCGAATACATTCAGCCATTATAGAAAAATCTTGCTGACAAACACACACACAGTGGTGAAAACCACATCATATACACACATACCAATGTCTTGTCTGGAGTCAGGGTGGTACGACACGTGAAACTCTGGGATCAATTTTTTGAGAGCTTGAACCAGTTCTTCAGGAGTAAAGCTTATTGCAGCAACGTTATAGGTTCTAAGTTTTAGTTTCTCTTCGGGAACTTCCATAACTTCAATCAATGAACGCAAACAGTCGTCTATATACATCATAGGAAGACGGGTGTTAGGCCTAAGGTAGCACTGAAACTTGCCTTGTTTGATGACATCGTGGAAAATTTGAACGGCATAATCTACAAAAAGCCAAATATCAAATACTTTTAAGTCAAATATAGTCAATAACCATAAAATGAAAAACACAAGTAACTCTACAATCATCCAGGGTTTAAATTTATCCAAATTTTTACCACAACTAACGTTTAGAAACTTGTACATATCAGTCTTTCAATCACTTCATTATTTTCACTTTATAGTTTAATGACTGTTTGTGTAATTTAGAAAAAGATGTATAACTTATCAAGTTCAATTAAAAAGTTCTTTTTAACTGTGGATGATAAATAGTCAAAATGTAGAATATGACCAAATATACTGAACAGATTTAAATATTATATTTAGTTTCTAAATTTCAAATTTATCTTGTCACCTAAAACCTTTGTCTTAAAAATGAAGGTACGTTCACATGCTTTTTTTTTCTTTCAAAAAACACAATAAAATTTACAGGATACTATACAGGTTGACTTATAGTCAGGAAATAGGTAACCCAATAATTCAAATAGGGTTAGTTTATACACGTTATCACGGATATCAATGTAATAACAAACATACCCAAAATAAGCAGGAAAGTATCTTTTCTTGAAATTGATTATTCATTGTTTAATAATAATTTTTCTGGTCAAATCATCATGATACAAAACAACAAATACTCTGTTGACTAGATTAACTGTTGACTGGATTAACTGTTGACTGGATTAACCCGCTACTTATCAATGTTCAGTTTTGAAATTCCTTTCTATTATTGTACATCCTGATTATTTAAATTGTTATTAGTCACTTTAAGTTATGTTTTAAATCATTTTATTTTATGCGTTAATTTATTTCAAATATTGGTATTTTTGTAAGTTCATAATATTTTATTATTGATTTGTATAAATGTTTTATAACACACAATGTATTCTATAAAAATCATTTTTCATTTCCATCTTTCCTTATGTGTGTCCCATACAGATTTAAATATTCCTTTCTTCAAACACTGAAACTTTTTTTTATAAAGAAAAAATGTTATTGTATTTGAGCTTTGGATGTTATTAAAAACTGTGCCAGTAACAAGACTGGCACAGTTTTTAATAAGACCCGAACTAAAGCTGCTTCAGAACCAGTCAAAGACTGGTTCTGAAGCAGCTCTTAGTTTGGGTCTTATTAAAAACTGTGCCAGTAATAAGACTGATTCTGAAGAAGCTTTAAGTTTGGGTCTTATTAAAAACTGTGCCAGTAATAAGACTGATTCTGAAGAAGCTTTAAGTTTGGGTCTTATT